CTCCTCTTCCCGCCATTGCTCAGCGGGGCTGCTGAGCCCCTGAACCATCAGGGACTGGCACTTGCTCACTCGTCCATTTTTTAATTCATTCATTCAACAAAACTTGCATAAGGACAAAACACAGCGCCGCATACCCATAAGGCCAGCACTCTAGGGGCCTGAGGCAAGAGGACCGCAAGTTGGATCTCAGCTAGGGCAACTTTGCGATTTAGCAAGGCCGTCTCCAGTACAGAACAAACGAAAAAGAGGGACCTGGGTGTAGCTCAGTGTGATGGCCTTGAGTCTAATCCCCGGTACTACAAATAATAATAAGTAGATAAAGCTTGTGTTGACGACTGACTTCGTGCTGTTGAGCCGGAAGTTGTCTATGGGACACAGGACCCCAATTCTGGGCAGCTGTGTCCCCTCCTGCTGCCACAGCACAAAGGGGAACAAAGAGGAGCAGGCGAGATGACAAGGTGCAGGGTGAGGGGAGGGGGGGGCACGGGACCCATGGGTGCAGTCAGCTGGGACTGTGCAGCTTTCGCTGTGCAAATCCTGAGGAGAAAGAGCCCTGTGCCCACCTCTGCTCAGCGTCCAGCACCCGGCGTCTCAGAGCTGCACGCCTCAGCTGGCCACTGCACAGCCTTGTCCAGCCCGGGAAGCAGCAGGGGGCCGGCTGGCTGCTGCAAGCCGCACGCCTCTCATTAGAGGGATCTGGATACCTACAAAGCTCCTTACCTGCCCTTCCAGGTTGCCTGGGTTCAAAGCGGCGATTTCATAAGCAGGACTGTAATTAGAGGTTTTATGGTTTGTTATGTTTTGTTTTGCTCTCTGGGAACAGAAACCTCCTCCCTTATAATATTTGCAATATGCCCTGAGTATCCTCTCTGCATGAGGCGCTGTGCATCACTTTGTATATTACTTTGTTTAATGTTCACCAGAACCTATGAATTTGGTATTATGTTTTTCTTAGAAATGAGAAAAACGAGATCAAAAGCTAAGCAGTTTCCCCGAGTCTATGCAATCAGTAAGACACACAGCTGGGGTTGGCTGAGCCTGCTATCTGAAATGTGTGGAAGGGGTGGGAAAAGAGGGGTGTGGGTCTGCTGGGGCCTGGGTAGTGTCCACAAAGGAAGTGGACAGTTTCATCTGGAGGCCAGCCCCAGGGTCTGTACTGTTGCTAAGGGCCGTGCGTGAAAGGAGGCATCAGAAAAAGTCTTGTCTTTCTGTACAAAATAAGCTAACAGGGCCATGGAGAAGGACAGAAGGAAAGTAAAACAAGCCATGCACAGACACACACACACACACACACACACACACACACGTGAAGCGACACTGCATAATAGAGTGTGAACTCACGCCCACCAGCACTGACTGAGAAAACATCCACCACCAGCCCCACAGCCTTGCTTTTGATGGAGAAAAGCTGTTCATGAAAACGAGGTGCCTCCTTCAGGTGGGATTACTGCTCTTGTTAGGTCCCTCTGGGAAACAAGCCAGGTGTCTAAGGAGTTCTTCAATTCGCGCAGATCTCTACATTACATTTACTGTGATGACAACAAGATTTTCTCATCTCTGTGTAAGGTGCAGCTGGGGCTCTGCAGGAGACCAGGATCAGGTCAATCTGCCTGTGCTTAAGGACCTCACAAGTCAGCTGGGCCACAACACCCCCACAATACAGGCATATGTGCCCAGCTCATAAGCACTGTGTAAAAAAATAATCAGCAAATTCTGCATAGAAGGCAGTGGTGGGGAGATTTCTTTTCTCACCCATCCATCCATCCACCATCCTCAAGAAATACGCACTGGCCATCACTATGGCTTTCATATGCTAACTGCTTTGAAAGAAAAGATGGTTGGATCAGGCCATTCAATTCCCAGGAAATGGAGTGGGAATGACCAGTTTCCTGTGGCAGAGTTGGGTTGTCCCTGGATCATTCCAGTCTCTGGGATAATCTATCTGACAGCACCGCAAGAGAGTTCCTTGGTAGTTAGGAACAGTCTTGAGAGCAGGCTGTTTCTGCATTAAAATTCACTAAGTGTTATTTATTCAGAGTTCAGTTCTAGATGGTATCCTTATTAGCATCTTTGTCAAGTAAAGTCAACCCTCCAGACTTGTGCAAAAATAGGCCTCAAAAAGTATTCATAACATAATAAAATTGTGGAGAACTACTCAGTGGCCAATTTTACTAGCTTCTAATACAAGGTTATTGCTTTCCTTAATGTTCCACCACCACCACCATCATCATCATCCTCATCCCTATCTTGCAGAAAAACCATGAGGCAGTTCCCAGGCCGTCCTCAAGGTGAGCCAGCGTCCCTCTTCCCTCAAAGGCAGCATGAAGCTTAACAACACTACTCTAACCTTGTTCGGCCTTTCTGTGTGGCAGCTGGCCATAGAGACATCAAGACCCTCCAGGAAGGGGACCAGAAGACTCTGGAGAGACAGGCCTGGCTGGGCCTCACCACTCAGCCTGTTCTCATCAGCTCCCCTCCTTGTCCAGCCACACTTCAACCCGCTGTCACTGCTACCAAACCTCAGCACAAAATCAGGTGCCTCCCCTGTACCCTGGCCTCCTCCCTCTGAAGACTTTCGTGTCACTCACATGTTGGTTAAATGAATTTGTTAGGCTTTTCTTTTGGTGAAATGTAATGTAAAATGGACAGAAGATATATATGTATGTATACATATATATATATGTATATATGTGTGTGTGTATATATATATATATATATATATATATGTATGTATAATCCTATCAACTCCATGGATGTGTGCACACTAGGGTTAGAGCATCATTATTATTCAAAAGTGTGAAATGGGCAGCTTGCTGAGATAAGAGCACAGAATGCGGAGTTAGCTGGCCCAGAGGTCAGGAGGGGACACTCTGGTTTCTGTGTTATGATTCCCTGGAGCTTACCTCTGTCAGATAGGCAGGCAGGTAGTAGGTAGATCGCCTCTGAAGAGGTAAAGAAGGAAGACACATAACCCACAGGAGTCCACCTGTGTGGACAGCAGCCCGCTGGCTTGGCTTCTGAGAGTAACTGGTGTTGTCCAGAGTCCTCAGACCAAGCCCTGTCCGCTGCAGAACGCCAAGATGGGGCACCTTGGGACAGCGACAGGTGCCCTGGCTCTCTGACGTCCTCCCATGCTTCTGAGGGAAGCTTGGGACATGCTCAGGACTCTGCTGGATAAAGGGTTGAGTGGAAGAACGAATAAATAGCAGACCTAGCCCCAGAACTGTTAGGAACTATTAGGGGCCCGGTGGGTAAAGTTTTATATACACAGAAGCCGGGGCTTGTCTTAAGGAGTGTCTCCTGCAAAAGTGGAAAGGGACATGTCCGTCCGTCCATCTTATAAAACGCAGCCTGAATGGCTTCTACAGGGCAATGAAAACGCTGCAGGACAGCAGGAGCACTTGGGACAGGGCCTTGGCATGGAAGGTGTGCGGATGGAGGAGGGGTGAAAATCAGGTACAGGCCCAGTAGCAAAAACCAGCCCTGTGCTGGGGGAGGCATTACCAAGCCCAGTGGGTCCTGCTAAGTTGAGAAATATGGAAAAGTCAGGCCCAGGAATTTAGGCTTCCTAGAGCAGAGAATCTCTCAAGACCTTCATCTCATCCCCTTTCCTGGCTGTTCTGTAGAAATCTATCTTCACAAAGAGACGACAAACATTATTGCAACTTAATATGCGTGTGCCATCCAAATCAACCAAGGCCCTTCAGGCCTTTGAAATGCAAAGAGCCCGGCCAGCTTTCCATTGGCTTGTTTATGCAGCCCCGAAGTTAGGCAGGTCCCAGGCCACACTGGGGGTGCAGCGAGGAATGCGGCTGGGTCCCTATCCCCGCGGGACTTGCAGCTGAGTTGTAGAGACAAGTGTGTACACAGGTCCTTAGAGCAGGAGGTGACAGTGCCAACACAGGGTTTCCATAGATACTGCCTGGAGGCGGCGTGGAAAGCGAGATGGGAGTTTTGGACGATTTGGTGTTCCACTCAAGTTTAGAACTGTGATGGGAGGTCGAATACTTTCATTAAAATGGTTTTTGTTGTTGTGTTGTTGTTGTTGTTGTTCCTCAAAGCAGTATCCTGAGTCAAGGCCTGGATGCCCAGGGGGTGGAGCAAGGAGCGAGGTCGACTGAGCCGAGCCGGGTCCCCAAAGGGGCGCCCAGCGGAGGGGCTGGGTTTGCGCCCCCTCAGCTCCCCAAGGAGGCCAAGGCCCGGACCTCGCAGAGCGAAGTGGAGCTGAGACTTCATTCCGCATCTCTGGGCTTCACTTAGCACCTCCCAGTTTCCTTTTAAAAATCCGCCTGCTCTTTCCCAAAGAGAGTTCTCGCCCCTGGGGGTGGGGATCGTTTTCCAAAGTCGACGTGCAAGTTAAAGGTCTCCGGGCGGTCGGGGAAGGAAACCTCGCGCTCCGGGAGCCCCGAGAGGAAACGCTGGAGAGGCCGGGCGCGTTCAGCAACGACCACA